CTCACAGAGATCCGCCTGTCTCTGCCTCCCGAGTGCTGGGATTAAAGGCGTTTATACTGAATTCAATATTGTATAACTGTATTAGTTCAACAGAAAACCTAAAAATTTTATAGCCACTTTTGAAAGAGATGTATCTTTGCTCTGGAAACTGTCATTGAGTATGTTAAAGCTGTAATGAAATGCTTCTTCTTAAAAAATAAAATATATTAAAAAAAAGAAAGTCCATACTTTATTTCAGTCTCTTCTGTTTTTATTGAAAGTCCTTTTTCTGTCCCAGGATCCCATCTAGGACATTCCAATCCATTTAGTCATCATGCTTCCTTAGGTTCCTCTTGCCTGTGGCATTCTCAGATTTTTTATGTTTTTTTGCATAATAAGCTCTTCACATATACATGTCGGAGGAATTGAAATTGTTACCCATAATGGGCATACTTTTCTATATGTTATGGGATCTTAAGGACAGACATTTAGAATTAGCAGTTTATAAAAGGAGGTCCCACATGTCGTATACTTCCTTAGCAAGGCTGTACTGCTGATCTTTCAGGTGGGTACTAGCAAGGCAGAGTGGGATTGAAAACTGGGGTGGGAATAGCCATTGCTGTTGCTTCCTCTTATTGTTTTGTCACAATTGGTATTATCATTACTGTTGTTATTGAAAGAGACTGTGTGCTGTAAGAAAGGCATAGCTCTGGAATAAGACAGTCTTAGCCGCCTTTGAGTTACACATTAAAAAAAAAAAAACATGAGTCGGGGTAGTGGTGCACGCCTGTAGTCCGAGCAGTTGGGAGGCAGAGGCAGGCAGATCTCTGTGATTTCAAGGCCAGTCTGGTCTATGTAATGAGGTCCAGGCCAGCTGGGACTACAGGGAGACCCTGTTTCAAAAAGACCAAAAACAACAACAAAAACCAAAGCCAAACACAAAACAACAACAGCAAAAAATAAACCCCAAATGACCAACAGAAGAAAACCTCCCTTGGAGGGGATGGAGAGATGGCACAAGAACACTTGCTGCTCTTGCGGAGGACCTAGGTTCAGTTCCTAGCACTCACATGGTGATTAACAGTCTGAAAATCCAGTTCTAGGGGATCTGACGCCCTCTTCTGGCCTCTGCAGAGTATTGCATGTATGTGGTGCACTTACCATGCAAGCAAAATACTCATACACATAAAATAAAAATAATAAATAAAATATTAAAGACAAACCAAAAAGCCGCTCTGGGTTTTAGTTGCCTCCCTTACAAAATTATTTTGCAGTGTTTGAGAATTAATATTTAAGAAAGTCCCTCTTTTTGTATTGTGGATGACAGATGTATAATATTTGTTGATTGATATTAGAAAAAATAGATCGGGGCTGGAGAGACAGCACAATGGTGAAGAGTGTGTACTGTTCTTGCAGAAGACTTGAGTTCAATTCCCAGCACCCATGTTGAGTGGCTCACTGCTGCCTGAAACTCCAGCTCCAAGAAGATCTGATGCTTTGGCCTCTGTAGGCACCTGAACTCATGTGTACATTCACACACACACACACACACACACACACACACACACACACACAAAATTAAAATTCAAAAGAAGAGCTGGGCATGCGGGTGCATGCCTTTAATCCCAGCACTCGGAAGGCAGAGGCAGGCAGATCTCTGTGAGATTGAGGCCAACCTGGTCTACATAGTGAGTTCCCAGCCACAAAGTGGCTAACAACCACCTTTAACTCCAGTTCCAGGGGAATCCATTGCCCTCTTCTGACTTCCACAGACATTGCACGACATGGGTGCACTTACATACATGCAGGCACTGCATTCATACACATAAAACAAAAATAATCAAAATTAAAATATTAAAAATGAAATTAAATATTTATTTTAATTTATGTGTATGAGTGTATTGTCTGCATGTGTGTGAGTGTGCCTGTGTTGTGCAATGCCTGTGGAGATCAGAAGAGGGCACTGGACCCCTGGAACTGAAGTTACAGATGGCTGTTAGTCACCATGTGGGTGCTGGGCAGCCAGTGCTCTTAACTTCTGAGCCATCTCACCAGCCTGAAATTTTTGGTTATTTTTTTTTTTTTTTTTTAAAGAAAAACAGGTTGGTCATGGTGGTGCATGCCTTTAGTTCCAAGACTCGGGAGGCAGAGGCAGGCAGATCTCTGAGTTCCAGGCCAGCTAAGGCTAAGACCCTGTCTCAAAAAAAAAAAAAAGGACAATATTGTGTACCTGGAGGAAGGAGGGAGGAAGGAAGGAGGAAGGAGGGAGGGAGGAAGGAGGAGGGGGAGGGGGAGGAAGGAGGAAGGGGAGGGGGAGGAGGAGAAAAACGATCAAATTGAAAAAGAGAAAAACAGGATGAAAAATTGTGGGGGAAATATTCTGTTATTTATTTTTTAAAGCATTTTCGGGGTCTGAAGAGATGGCTCAGCGGTTTAGAACACTGGGTGTTCTTACAGAAGACCCAGGTTCGAATCCCAGCACCCACATGGCAGCTAACAGCTGTCCATAACTGCAGTCCCAGGGGATCCGACAGTCTCTTCTGACCTCCGTGGGCATTGCACAACATGGGTGCACTTACTTACATGCAGGCAATACATGCATACACATAAAATAAAAATAAATAAAAAATTAAAGCATTTTCTCTACTGGGCAGAATAACAAACCTTTGTTTTGCTTTCAAGTTAGGTATTTGCTAGATAACAGCTTTTGGAACTTTATGGTTTGTATACTTCGTGAGAAGAGGTGCTTGGAGGTCTGAAAGGTTAGGATTATCCTCACATGGCTGTTTTGTTGTAGGTGCTGGGGCTGCGGAACAATACCATTTCTAAGCAAGTCTTTTCCCTCTTAAGGTAAGGATATTAGTAACAAATATGGCTAACAGTAGATTTGTGGTTGACATAACATGTTGCTTTCTTCATATCCACTGTGTGTCTGCTAAGCAGCTCAAGTTTTGATTCCCTAGCATCTTGCTCCTTTCCCATTCTCAGTAAAAGGTCATTCCATTCATCTAGTCACTCAGGCCAAAACACTTGAATTTCATCGACACTGTTATTGCTCTTGTTCTATAGCCAACTTTTCAGCTGAGCTCCAGTGTTGAAATATATCCAGAGTCAAGCCATTTCTTACCTCTAGTTTTCAGCTTTATGTTTTCTGTTTTGCTAAACCCTGGAAAATCAGCTCCTCATCTTATCATCATCTTCACAGTCTTCCTAACTAATCTCTCAATGTTTACTTTGGTCTTTTTTTCTTCATACTGAAATGGAGCTATTTTTTCAAAGCAAGTTCAGTTATATCACTCCTTTGCTCAAAATTCTCCAATGGTATGCTATCTATATTAATTACTGTCTTATTGTTTCCAAATTCCCAACAAGAAGCAACTTAAAGAAGGAAGGTTTGTTTTGGTTTACAGTTTCAGTTTACAGTTCATCATGGATAAGGTATCACCTCAGTAGCATGAGGCAGCTGGTCACTTTGCATCCACAGACAGAAAGCAGAGAGAGATGATGCTGGTGCTTGGCTCACTTTCTGCTGTCTTCCTTTTATTCATCCTGGGACCCCAGCCCAGTGAGGTGTCTCCTAGGTGGTTCTTAATTCAGTCAAGTTGACAATGAGAATTAAACATGACATCAACTTACTCAAAATAAAATCTATAGTCCTTTCCATGGCCCACAATGCCTAATGCTGAAGTCTAAAGAGGGTAATCTATTTCTTTAAGATGATATATATAGGTTAAAATTAGGTATTAAAGCCAAGGTTTTTTTCTTTTCTTTTTCCTTCCTTCCTTCCCTCCTTCCTTCCTTCCTTCCTTCCTTCCTTCCTTCCTTCCTTCCTTCCTTTCTTTCTTTTTTTGACCTTTTTGAAACAGGGTCTTCCTGTAGCCCCAGCTGGAACTCACTATGTAGATCAGGCTGGCCTTGAACTCACAGGCCTGCCTCTGCCTGTGCTGGGCATTAAAGGCGTGTGCCACCACACCCAGCTAAAGCCAAGGGTTTTTTTGTTTTGTTTTTGTTTTTTGTCTTTTTGAAACAGGGTCTCCCTGTAGTCCCAGCTGACCTGAACTCACTATGTAGACCAGGCTGGCCTCGAACTCACAATGATCTGCCTGTCTCTGCCTCTGCTGGGACTAAAGGCGTGTGCCACCACACCCGGCCTTTGTTTTATTTTTTAATTATACTACATATAGAGTGTATCCTCTGTATTGATTTTTGTCTAGTTGCTCATGGAATACATTTGGTACATTGTTTCTCGATTCAGCGGGTATTTGACCAGTGTCTTAAATATTGCAGTCACAGGATGTAAAATGATAAATTGCAATCCTCTTTAGCTACTTGGCCTCATAAGACTGGGTCATTTTATGAATGTTTTACATTTTTTGAAGCCTTCCTCTTCTTATTCAATATATTTTCCTATCAGTTAACTACTAATTTACACACACCTGCTATAATACCATCCTAGACATTTTACATGTTATCTCTAACCTTCACAGAAATATAGGATGAATATAAATAACTCATGTCACAAAAGAGGAAACTGACTCAGAGTTTAAGATAGAGTTTCAGTCTCCTGAGATTGTACTATTATTATCTGTATTTTAAAGAAGAGATAACTGAATTACAGTAGTATCAAACAATGGGTAAGGTCACAGTTTAGAAATGGTTTAGTCAGCGTTCAATCACAGATTTGCTTTCCTCAGGCCTATACCACACTTTAGTTTCAAAGCTTCTTGGGATGCAGAATTAAAATGTTCCAGTCCCCTAGTCAGCTGAGCAGAGCCATATTATTCTCCTTCCTGTCCTCTGGCTTCTCTGTGCCACCCAGCTCTCACCGCTGCCCTTTTCTCTCCCTCCTCCCAGAGCCTGTCTTGATATTGTAAGGCTTGTGTCCAACTCGTTGGTTCTTCAGCTTCAGTCTCTTCTCATTCCATCTCTCACCTGATGCTCTGGTCAACTTTTCCAAAACACAAGCTTGATTGTTTCACTCCTGTACTTAAAATATCCCGAGAATTGGGGGCTGGAGAGATGGCTCAGCAGTTAAGAACACTGAGTGTTCTTGCAGAAGACCCGGGTTCAAATCCCAGCACCCACATGGCAACTAACAACTGTCAGTAACTCCAGTCCCAGGGGATCTGACAGCCTCTCTGACCTCCACAGACATTGCACAACTTGGGTGCACTTACCTACATGCAGGCAATACACACATACACATAAAAAAAAATCCTGAGAATGTTCCACTGCTTACACAGAGTAAAAAACAAACAGCACAGCCTATATTTTCTTCATGACCTGGTTTCTGAATACCTCTCCAGCTTTATTTTTTCACCGTCCTCTTACCTTCTACTTAAGTTCTTGCAATTTCTAAACACACTCCTTCATACCCCTGTTTAGAGTGCTTTTCATGCAGTGCTACGGAATTGAGAACAGTTCCCCTCCTCTCTCCTTTCCTCTTCCCCTTTTCTTCTTTGTTTTTGTAGCATGAGGGGTCAAATCCAAGGCCTTGGACAGACTGAGCCACCCCTTGACCACTGAACTATATCCTAGTCCACAGTTCCTCATTTTTTTAAAAAACTCAATTTAGGGCTGGAGAGATGGCTCAGTGGTTAAGAGCACTGACTGCTCTTGCAGAGGACCGGGATTTGATTCCCAGCACCCACATGGCAGCTACAAACAGTCCTTAACTCCAGTTCCAGGGGAATCAGAAGCCCTCTTCTGACCTCTGTGGCATTACACAACATGGGTGCACTCACATACATGCAGGTAATACATTCATACACATAAAATAAAAATAATAAAGTATTTTTAAAAAAATTTTAAAAAGATCTGTTACTTATTTGAAAAAGCTTCTAACTAAAAGCAGGCCTAGGTTCTTTTTAAAAATATTTTACTTATTATTTTTATTTTATGTGTATGAGTATATTGCCTGCATGTATGTGAGTGCACCCGTGTCATGCAATGCTGCAGAGGTCAGAAGAGAGCTTCGGATTCCCCTGAAACTGGAGTTAAGGACAGTTTGTAGCCGCCATGTGGGTGCTGGGAATCGAACCCCAGTCCTCTGCAAGAGCAGTCAGTACTCTTTACTGCTGAGCCATCTCTCCAGACCCTAGGTTATTTTTTAAAAAAAATATTTTATTATTTTTATTTTATGTGTGTGAGTGTTATGCCTTCATGTAGGTGAGTGAACCCATGGCGTGATGCCCGCGGAGGACAGAAGAGGCTGTCAGATCCCCTAGAACTGGAGTTATGGCCAGTTGTTAGCTGCCATGTGGGTGCTGGGAATCGAACTAAAATCCTCTGCAAGAACAGTCAGTGTTCTTAATTGCTGAGCCATCTCTCCAGCCCCAGGGCTAGGGTCTTTAAAAACAAAAGCAAAAACAAAACCTCAGTTTAAGTTGGGCATGGTAGTGCATGCCTTTAATCCCAACACTTGGGAGGCAGAGGCAGGTAAATCTCTGTAGTTTGAGGTTAGCCTGGTCTACATAGGGAGTTCCAGAGCCAGCTAGGACTACAGGGAGACCCTGTCTCAAAAATACCAGAAAACCAACCAACCAAACAAAAAAAAACTCAGTTTAAATTGTTCTAATTGTGTAGTTCCATCTTTCTGGTTGATGGAATCATATCTTCCTTTGAATCTTGTACATTTTTCTGTTCTGTATTAGTAATATATTATGATTCACATGTATTTACATTTACCAATTCCCAAGTAGACCACGTGCATAGATACTGTACTTATATTTACATCCCAGGACCACTTTATTTGACATATGGCCAGTGCTCACTAATGTTTGTGGAAGGAAAGAGTAGGAAAATATAGCATTGCTATATTCTTAACATAGAGCATAAAGATTTTGGTAATTTTGCAAATAAATGTGAATATCTAATTCAACATCCTTTCCCTTTCCCTCTCTCTTTAGATTCAGATTTTTGGGAGAGAATCCCATTTATTCTGCAGGTAAGTGGGTATTTCTTGATTTGGTGTGCCATCTGCAGATGACCCTCCAGCACTCTGTAGTAATTTTGTCTAGAAGGCCTAACGTATATGTTTGAGGAGAGTGGCAGGACCAAATCCTTCTCCTTACATAGAATAGAGCCATGGACAAGAACATCAAGTAGTGAGTGGTTAGACAGGAACCTATAGGAAGTGTGGATTCCCAACTCTACCATTTCCTTCTGTGATTATTTACTTTGTTTGTTTGTTTGTTTTGAGGCAGGACCTTACTCTGTTACCCAGGCTGGTCTCAGAGATCCTCCTGTCTTAGCCTTACAGGTGCTGAGATTACAAGCATGTTCCATGTCTGGTACTTACTCTGTGACCTTTGACTACCTCTCTGTAACTTGGTTTCCTCAATTAAAAAAAAAATTGGGGTAGGGCTGGAGAGATGGCCCAGCAGTTAAGAACACTGGTTGTTCTTGCAGAAGACCCGGGTTTGAATCCCAGCATCCACATGGCAGCTAACAACTGTCCATAACTCCAGTCCCAGGGGATCCGACAGCCTCTTCTGGCATCTGTGGGCATTGCACGACATGGGTGCACTTACCTACATGCAGGCAATATGCGCATACACATAAAATAAAAATAATAAATTTTTTTAAAGACCTGAGTTTGAATCCCTAGTGCCCACTGAGCCATCTCTCCAGCCCCTATTATTGTTTTTTAAAAAATCTTTCATACTGGGGCTAGAGGTGTAGCTCAGTTGGTAGAGGACTTATACAAAGCTCTGGATTCAACCCCCAGCACTACATGAACAGGGCATAGTGGTGTATGCCTGTAATCCCAACATTTGGGAGAGAGATGTGACAGGAGGATCAGGAGTTCGAGGTCATCCTTTGCTACTCTCATATTTCAGGCCAGCCTGGGCTACATGAAATTTCAAAATTGTATTATAATAATGTTTAGAAGAGTAAGGAGCAGTGCCCTGTTTCTACCTCCACTTATTCACTCCATGTATGGGCTGTGGTATCATCCCAGCTGACCTAAGGAAAGGCTGATTATGGTCGTTCTCTTTTTCTTATTAACTTGAATATATTAGTTCAAAGTAAATGTATAAAAAGAGGGTAAATGAAGGGAGCTTGGAGTGGTCTGACCACAGAGTAAGCAGAGACACCTGTATTCAAATCTAGGAAGCATCAGAAGAACTTGAAAAAAACAAAGTGGGCAGCTGCCAGGCACAAATCATTGCAGACTGCTTTGGTAGAGTGTCTTGAGAACCATTTTTGTTTTGTTTTTTAAGTATGCATTTATTATGTACTGTTTGCCAGGCACTGGCATTTTCTCTGCCTTGAGGGACGTAGAGTCTGTTGAATGTAGAGAATATCCTGTAATTGGATTCTTGGTTGGTGCTATTCCAGTTTTATCCCCATTCTCTATCTGCATAGCTCTGCTGAAAATACTTGTTCCAGTTTCAAAAAGAGAAAATTAAAACAGAGTTGTTTACCCCCAACCTAGATTGACAGGTTCAGTTCCCTGGTAAGTGAACATAAATATTGAAGGACATTTGTCTCTAATGTACGCAAAGGAAAGGGGAGGAGTATGTGCTTACATCTTACAATTGTGGCAATTGAACGATTTTCAATTTGAATCAAGGAGTTTTCTGACTTGTCAGTGAAGGGTGGCTTTTCCTACCAATGGGCTAGGATGTTCATGTGACAGCAGGAAATTAGCTTAATGACACAAAGTAGAGGGAAAGAATCCAGTTGAACTTACTGGAAATAAGAGGCTTTCAAACTTAAACATTTTATGATTAAAACAACTGGCTAATTAAACAGTTTAACCACTGGCAATTTGACCCAAACCTTTCATTTAAGGAGGGAAAATGGTTAATTTAACAGTGGTTTGAACCAGCTTTTTAATTAACCAGATGCTCTAATTATAGGAATTGCCCCAAACTGAATTTGAGAATGTCTCCTTGCCAAGGAATTCCCAAATTTGCAACCCTTGCAACTTGAGCTGTATCATCATCTCAGAGATCAGCCTCCTTTCTGCTTTTTGGAGTCACTGATGGATGATTGAGTGTCTGTGTGCTTAAACATGGTGATTGACATCTGAGTTTTTTTTTAACTTTAAAAAAATATTATTTTTCTTTTATGTGTATGTGTATATTGCCTGCATGTAGGTAAGTGCACCTGTGTTGGGCAATGCCTGCGGAGGTCAGAAGAGGCTGTCGATCCCCTGGAACTGGAGTTATGAACAGTTGTTAGCCCATGTGGGTGCTGGGATGTGAACCCAGGTCTTCTGCAAGAACAGTCAGTGTTCTTAACCACTAAGCCATCTCTCCAGCCTCCTGAGCTTTTATTTTCCCCAAATATTTTATTATATAGTACAGGCACAAGAGAGCTATAACTCTGAAGCTAAACTCTTGATCTTTGTATGTTTAGGGCAGCAGAAGAGTTTCATAGAGATGGTGACTTCAGTTGGCTGTGGATGTTGTGTAGAATTTCATATCAGTGAGGCACAGTCCCCTAACTGAGGGGGACAGGCCAGCAAGGCACAGTGACAAGGCTTATATAAAATGCCCAGTGTAGCTCTATGGCTGAGAAATGGAATTTTTTTTTTTGTCTTTTTGAAGCAGGGTCTCCCTGTAGCCCCAGCTGTCCTGGAACTCACTATGTAGACCAGGCTAGCCTTGAACTCAGAGATCCACCTGCCTCTGCCTCCCAAGTGCTGGGACTACAGACATACACCACCACGTACAGTAATAGAATGAAATGGAATAGTTGGACCTAGACTATAAAGTCAAGGTCCATAAATGTTTAGCTAAGCAATTCCAACTTTGGGCAGTGGAAACCTATCAGACATTGGAAAACTGGGCAAATAACATCTCATTGTTGTCTCTATAGTCTCTGACAAACAGTGGCCACTGCCAAAAATTACATTTGTACAATGGATGAAAGGTTGAATTAATGGCAAAGAACAATGAATGGCTGGAGAGATGGCTCAGTGGTTAAGAACATGTACAGCTCTTTCAGAGGGCCTGGGTTCAGTTCCCAGCACCCACATCAGGTGTGTTCAGTTCCTAGCACCCACATCAGGTGGCTCACAACCATCTGTAACCCAGTTCCATGGGATCCACTACCCTCTTCTAGCCTCCATGGGCATTGCATGTGCATTGTGCACATACATATAGGCAAAACACTAATATTAATAATAATAATGATGATAATAATAATACAAAATAAAAAGAGACTTTTTTTTTTAAAGAACAATGATTACATTTTTGTTTTAGAAGGACTCTTCTGTGGCTCCAGAGGGTGGAGTAAAGGTATGTGTGGGTATAGAAAGGTCAATAGTAACAGCTCAGTCTTCTAATCTCCTAACCCTTCCAGTCCATACTCTTTCTGACTCCTTTCACACAGCAAACAAAATGATCTTTTAGAAACATAACAATCATGTAATTTCTCTGCTTATTGCTGTTCAGGATGAAATCCAAACCCTTAACAAGTCCCAGTTTTGTTGGTTCCAGTTCTCCACCCCCTTTAGTCTTTGGTCTGTCTTTCTTTGTGTCAACCACACTCACAGTATTTCTGCCTCTTGATTGTGCCCCACATTAGGGCCTTTGCACATGCTGTTTCTTCATCTGGAGTATACATCCTCCATCTTCCCCTGTAAGAAACTCCTACTTTCCTGTTTGTTGTGTCTTATTATTTTTAATAGATAGTATATGTATATGGAACAAATTTTAAAAGGTATAAAAGAGTCTAATTAAAAAGTAAGTATGCCAGGGCTGGAGAAATGACTCAGTGGTTAAGAGCACAGGCTGTTCTGGAAAAGAACCTAGGTTTTGATTCCCACATAGCAGCTAACAACCATCTGTAACTCCAGTTCCAGGGGATCCAGTGCCCTCTTCTGACCTCTGCAGGCATTGCATGACATGGATGTACCTATCCACATGCAAACAATACACTCATACACATAAAAGAATAAAATATTTTTTAAAATGTAAGTCTCCCCTCTGGCTTCTGGCCACTTCTGTTCCCTAGGGATAACCACTGTTACCATTTCCTCAGAAATCCAGTCTCATTTCAGATGTCTTTTTTTTTTTTTTCAGAAGCCTCCTCTGCCACTCCATGCTGGCATAAGTCCACCTATCATATTGCCACAGCCCTCTCTGATGTGTTGTATTTTACATTTACTTTGTGACTATTCTACCATGAGTCCCTCCTTCACCTAGACTGTAGATGAAGTTTGGTTGGCATTGACACTTTTATAGCAGCATATAAGTACTCAGTAATTAAGCTCATTCTGAGTTTTCTGTAAGTTCATCTCTTACCACTCTGCTCCTTGTACTCCACTTTGAAAATTTCTCTGGCTCTTCCCTCCCTATACAATGTTTTATCCTCACTAACTCATAATTAGCCTTTATTTTTTATTTATTTATTTATTTTAGACAGGGTCTCCCTGTAGCCCTAGTTGCCCTTGGAACTATATAGATCAGGCTGGCCTTGATCTCACAAAGACCTTTTGGCCTGTCTCTACCTCCCTAGTGCTAGCATTAAAGGTGTGTGCCACCAGGCCCAGCTAGCCTTCACATTTTACTTAAAAGCCTGTCTCCCTAGTGAATAGGGGATTTTATATAGGGGATTGTTTGTTTGTTTGTTTTTGAGACAAGGTCTTGCATATGTAGCCCAAACCAGCCTTGGCCCTTCAGTCCTCCTGCCTCATTCTCTGGAGTTTTAGGATTACAGGTGTGTACCACCACCCCTGCTAGAGGGACCTGTCTTTGTTCACTGTTACAGTTTGAGCTTCTAAGTCAATGCTTGGTACCAGTCAGGCCTCCACAGATACTGAGTAGTTGAATACTCCATAATTTTACAACTCTAGTATCTGTCATTTGCAAACTTAAAAGGGTAAAGTTGTCATTGGCTATCTGAATGTATAATAATAAATTTTTATGGGTGAATGAATGTACTTTGGAGAGTTCAGTTCTTTTCAGGAGGCAGGATTTTTTATTATTTATTTATTTTTATTTTATGTGTATGAGTGTATTGCTTGCATGTGTAAGTGCACCTGCCATGCAGTACCTTTGGAGGACAGAAGGGGGTGTCAAATCCTCTGGAACTGGAGTTATGGACAGTTGTTAGCCACCATGTGGGTGCTGGGATTCAAACTTGGGTCTTCTGCAAGAACAGCCAGTGCTCTTAACTGCTGAGCCATCGATCCAGCCCCTCCCCAGGAGGCAGTATTTTCTTAAACATTTATTTTGTGTGTGTCTGTGTCTGTGTGCACACAGCAGTGTGCATGCAGAGGTCAGAGAGCAACTTGAAGGAATCAGTTTTCTCCTCTCACCCTTTGGGTTCCAGGAATCAAGCTCAGGATGTCAGGCTTGATGGCTGGTACCTTTACCTGCTGAACCATCTTCATGGCCCCATAAGGCAATATTTTGAAGTATTTTGAGGAAATGAAAATCTTGTTGAAGGAGACTCATTTTCAAGGCCCTGGTCTGAGGAGCATTGTGTATATCTGTTAAAGAAATTAGGGTATAGCCAGGCATGGTGGCAACACACCTTTAAACCCAGCACTCAGGAGGCAGAGGTAGGCAGATCTCTGTGAGTTTGAAATCAGTCTGGTCTACAGAGTGAGTACCAGGTCAGCTGGGGCTACAGGGAGACCCTGTCTCAAAAATACCAAAAAAAAAAAAGAGAGAGAGAAAGAAAAAGAAAAAGGGAAATTAGGGTATTTATCAGCTCAGGTGAGGGCTCAGGTTGTAGGGTCTGGAGCCAAAAGCCTCAAAACATCAAAATCCTTCTATTTGGGAAAGTGTAGTTGGGGCAGCAGCCATGAAAATACCTCACATACAGTCATTGCTGTTTGTTTGAGAACCTCTGAAAATCTCTCTCTTTTTTGCACGGTAAGCCCTTATGCTTCTTTCAAGAACACAGCTATCACTTGGACCTGTTATGTTAAACCCTGTGCCCTCCACCCCCACACCAAAGGCAGAATTAATTTTTCTTCTTTGGGTACCCACAACATTACATCTCTGTTAATTTGTATACTGTATTATAATTATCTGCTTTTCTATCCTTCCTTAGTAGATCTTGACTATGTCAAGGGAAAGTAGCATATATCTTCACCTTTATAACAGTCCCAATGTCTACAGAATTGTTAGCATGTAATTTTAAGTATGAACCAACTCCTATCCTAGATAGGATCCATGATGTCCTGGGTTGTCTTGATCAAATAATGTGGATTGTAAATGCAGGAAAGTTCTCTGCAGCCAGGATTGTCTCTGGCCTGACATAGAGCACACCTGCTTGGAAGCCCATTTTAGAAAGCAGGGGCCAAAGAAATGTTTTACTTGATGTTCCTTAGACTCTTCAATTACTTCTATTACTTCTGTTACTTCCTGACAGGAGTCACAGAACCAGGAAGAAAGGGAGATGGACTTCCCCAGAAAGTGGAGCATGAACAAGAAAGGCAGACAGATATAACCTGTCCATGGCTAATTTCAGGGAAAGGACAGAAATAAAAATCTGAAACCAAAGCTAGAAACCATCAGGTCTAGGCAGTGTTTGCATTCTAGAAACTTAAGTGTTATGACCTAGTGATTATCAACATAAACTCTGCAGTCAGATAGACCCAAGTGTAATGGCAGTTCTACCTCTCACTTTCTGGATGACTTGTTGATCATTTCACTAAAGTTTGTAAGCTACCTGTATTAGTTAATTTTCTTATCGCTGTGAACAAATACCTGACAGGAAGCAACTTTGAGACGAGAGAGTTTACTTTGTTTTACAATTGGTGGGACACAGTCCATCCTGTCAGGGAAGACATGAGACAGGAACAAGAGGTATCTGGCCACACTACTCTGCAGAGAGAAGCAGTGCTGGTACTGAGTTAGCTCTGTTTTTACGTGGTTCCAGAACCCAGCCCAAGGAATGGTACCACCCATGTTTAGGGTGGGTGTTCCCACCTCAGCTAACCTAGTCTAGAAAGTCCCTCACAGACATGCCCAGATACTTGTCTCTGGTGATTCCAGATCCTGTCAGGTTGACAATATTAACCATGACACTACCATTTCATTTTTATTTATGGATGAAGATAAGAATGATGATTAAAAAAGAATGTGCATATATATGTATGCATGTATGTATGCATGCATATGTGTGTTTATTTGGAAGCAAGTTTTAGCAACAAGTCCTTTGAATGGGACCCACTACAGAATGTATGCATAGAAGGATTCTGTTTTTTCCTAGTAATGGCGTACACACATGCAGCTCTGTTTTCCTAAGGTTTTTCTTTTTGTTGGTGTTCACTTAAAATATGTATTGGATATTGCTCCATATCAATAATATAAGTTAAATCGGATTTTTTTTTTTTTTTTGGTCTTTTGAGACAGGGTCTCCTTGTTGCCCCAGCTGGCCTGGAACTTGCTATGTAGACCAGGCTGGCCTTGAACTCATAGAGATCTGACTGCCTCTGCCTCCCAAGTGCTGGGATTAAAGGCATGTGCCACCACCCCTGGGTAGATTATTATTATTTTTTCAGTTGTTTGTGGTGGTGGGCATGGGGGCTCGAGAGATGGCTTAGTGGTTAATAGCACTGGCTGCTTTTGCAGAGGACCAGCGTCCAGTTTCCAGCACCCATATGGTAGCTAACACCTGTCCTTAACTCCAGTTCCAGGGGGTCCAACGCCCTCTTCTGGCCTCTGCAGGCACCAGGCATGCACTTATGTTCATAAAGGCAAACCATACACATAAAATAAAAATAAAATCTTAAAAAAAAAGGACTTGAGCATCTTAGGCAAGTGTTCTATTGCTAGGCTATATACCCATTACTATATGATCTTTAAAACTTTATAGAACTTTGTAATACTTTTCTTTGCTGGTTATTTTTGCTGCCTGCCTCTTTATACAGTTGCCAACTGAAAACCTCCAGAGGGTGTTGCATGCTGGCTCATACCTGTAATCTCAGCTCTTTGGAAGCTGAGGCAAGAGGGTTACTGAGTGTTTCAGCCCAGCCTGGGGTACATAGTAAGTGTCAGTCTGGGCTGGGTACATAGTAAGTGTCAGTCTGGGCTATAGAATGAGACTTTGTTTCAAAAAGAACATTTGTTTATGTATGTATGTGTGTATGTGTGCACACTGAGGTTAGAGGGCAACTCACAGGAGTTGCTTATCTCCTTCCACCTTATGGGTCCCAGGGATCAAACTGAGGTCTTCAGCCTTGACTACAGCACTATTACCCACTGAACCATCTCACTTCCTTCAAAAAGAACAAACCAAACCAACAAAAATTTCAAAAAACAAATATTGCCTATTGCAGAATAAGAGACGGTAAGAACCTCATTACAATATATTTTGTCCCCCTGCCCCTCAATGACTTTTTCAGGAGAGAATTTCCCAAAGAAAAATGGGTGGTAGGGACTGAATATATTTCAGGGGCTAAAAGGAGAGACTAGGAGGGCAAATTTGGAATAAGCTCAGCATCAAGAACTATCTCCTTACATATGATCTGTCTCTGGAAGAGCTTATAAACAGTTTTTCTTCCTCTCTTAGGTGGCATTCTACTGAGTACCAGTCGGCACTACAGGTCAAAGCCCACTCATGGCATTGGAAGATACAAACACTTAATCAAAGTGCAAGAGGTAAGCAAGGCGAGCCCTTTAGAGATAGTGTGGGGCTTTTGTAGAGACCTGAAGATCATATATGCATAGGTGGGAAACAGGAGGATCAGAAAGGATATGGTTAGCTCTTGGTCCTCTCTGGTTGCTTACTTTGGAGTTATCCAGATCAGAGATGTTTCTACCAGCTAATAATCTTGTCCCTAGGCCATATTATCACACAGAAAAACGATATGGCTTAGTTTTATTATTTATGATATTTTTGAAAAAGCATCTTTTTAGTATTTCAGTGTGGACCTCAGAGTAGAAATCATGTATTAACATTAGTTGAATGAATAATGTGCTGCAAGTAAGAGATGGATTGATATTTTCATCCCAAATAGCTGGTTTTTATAGTATTGCAGATACAAACTATGTATGTGCTCCTTGAATCATCAGTGATAACTGGGAGGGAGTTGTAAGCATCGTAGTATCATTTCATCAGTTTCTCTGGCCTCAGCTCCGTGACTGCTTCTGTGGTTGGCTAAATTTCTCTTCATGTGCAGACTTTGTGGTTTGGTGGATACAGAACTGACCTGATAGTCAGAAGCTTGGCTTTGAGTCTCAAGTCTATCACTTCCTATAGGCAGTAGAATTGAGAAGATTTTGTTGTTATAGTTAGGGAATCTTCAGTATCCTTCGATTCTTTGGTCTATTTTAATGCTCTCATACAACTATACATCTGCCTTTGCTTTTCTATGACAGAAGTGCAAATTACTGTATTAGAGCCTCAAAACCACTAAAGTCACCATTTTCTGAGTATCATCTTTACAAGGAATCTCGTAAGAACATTCATCTTTGAGACCTGTGTCAGGTAGGCTTCCAGTAGAAAACATGTTCAGGGTTAGTTCACTACTTTTGAGCTTTGTAACTCTGAATAAATTAATCTTTGGAGGGGGGGCTTTTTTGAGACAGAGTTTCCCTGTAGCCCCAGCTGGCCTGGAGCTCACAATGTAGACCAAGCTGGCCTTAAACTCACAGAGCTCCACCTGCCTCTGCCTCCCAAGTGCTGGGATTAAAGGTGTGCACCACCATACCCAGCCTGAATAAATTAACCTTACCTGTCTAGGCATGGTGGGCCATGAAATTATATGTAAAATGTTTTTTGTATGTGAATATTTCTAAGAGATTTGGAATTACAGGCCTGGGCCACCATGCCCCTGAGTCTACTATAACTTTTATCCAATGGTATGGATTGCACCTAGGGTCTTGTGCATAGTAGACAAGTGTTCTACCACCAAGGTACATCCCCAGTCCCCATAGTTTTTATCAGACTCTTCATAAAGACTGAGAAACTTTGGATCAGAATAGCTTAAGAGTCCTTCAACTCAGATATCATGAAGCTATAGAGTATTTAATGAATACATTTATCATGTAATATGCTCTGTTGATGCCTTGCCTAGGCAAAGTTGGTTAAAATGTTTTATTAGCATATATTAATTATACATAACAATAGGTTTCATTATGACATTTTTATGCATGTACATAATATGTTTCAGTCATGTTCACCCCTCGTTACCCTTCCTAGTCCCTCTCCCACTCTCACTAATCCGCTTTCTCTTCTACTTTCATGTCATGCACACGTGTGTTTGTATCCCAGTGAGTTTCATAAGGGTAGTTTACAGGAACATGGTGAGAATTTACTTACAGGAATGTGAACATCCCCCAGTGGCTACACCACTAAAGAAACTGTCTCTCTCCCATCATTATGAACTGTCTATAAATCTTCAGGGAGGGGTAGGGCCTCATCAGCCCCTCCTTCTCCATGACAGGATATTGACAGGCCCAATCTTGTATAGATCTTATGTAACTTCAGCTTCTGTGAGTTCAAGAGTAAGCAACCATGTCATACCTGGAAGTCAGTCCATACCTCTCCCTTTCCTCCAGTCCTTAAATGCCTTCTTCCCCCTTTTCTGTGATGTTTCCTAAGCTATGGAGGAGGTTATACATGGAGGGGGATGTTACAGTTATGCCTGGGCATCCAACAGTCATTTATTCTCAGTACTTTAACTAGTTAGGAGTCTCTGCAGTCATAGCTGACCATTGCAAACTGAAGCTTCTCTGATCAAAGCTGACAGCAGCATTAATCTATGAGCATAAACATAGTTATTAGGAAGGCAGTTTGACAAGCACATCATGTCCATTAGGCAAAACAAGAGGAGTAGCTTCCCCTCTCAGGCCTGTGACCTTTTGACTGGATTTACAGTATCAGAAAAATAATTTTTGCAGAATGAACAGGACCTGGTTCATGATCACCAGGAGCTGGTAAACTAGCAGAGAAACCATGCCCCCAGGCAGAAAATGACAAGTGCCAGGAGGAAGATACAAAATGCTATTAAAACTCAGAAGTGGCCAGGCGTGGTGTCACATGCCTTTAATCCCAGCACTCAGGAGGCAGAGGCAGGCGGATCTCTGTGAGTTCAAGGCCAGCCTGGTCTACATAGTGAGTTCCAGGACAGCTGGGGCTACAGAGAGACCCTGTCTCAAAAAGACCAAAAAACAAACAAACAAACAAAAAACAAAAGGAAAACTCAGGAGTGATTTACATTCTTTGGGTTGTGACACCTTAGAGTAAGTTGTTGGAGTTGTTTTATTGTAGGCATCCCCCTTCTAAAAACATCTTTCTATAAATCCCACATAAATTAGCAGGACAGAAAATTAATTTGGGGTGGGTCTTGGTTTTTGTTTTTGTTTTTTCTGTTTCTGGGATCCTTCCTCTAAGGTAATTTTCTGCATCTGCCTTGCTCTGACTTGCTACTTAGTTTGATAGAAAAAGAAGCTGAAGGCCATTTGTCCCGTCTTTCTCTCCACCACCTCCTCTCCTCACAGAAACCATGGCTTACCTCTCTTGGGCCTCTTGGTTTTCATGCGCATCTTCTCTTCTCTCTCTCTCTTTTTTTTTTTTTTTAAACATCTTCTCCTTTTTCAAAGAACTCACATGCTGTTCTGTCTGCTTGGAAGACCTTCTCCCCTTATTTACTTACAAAACTTTTTTTGAGACTCACTGGAAGTCATAACTCCCTTACCTTAGCCTCCCCAATGTTGGTATTATAGCCACGCACCACCACAGGAACAATAGCTATTGATCCCACAGAGTTAAAATGTGGGTTATTGAAGCTGCCCAGAGGTTTTTTTTTAATCAGAGGTGGCAAACACAACCCACAACTGAAAATAGCTGGCTCCAGATGACCTTAGTTGTTTGAAGGGAATAGTGTTCCCTTGGGTTAGGGAACCTACAGTGGCTTTCCTCTGATGCCATTCAGCATCCCACCATGGCTACAGTGGTGCTGTATGGTGGTGTGGCTGCTCCAGACTCTTCTATCCCTATCCAGGGTAGCACAATGAAACCTTTCATCTTCAACTTACAAAGGCTTGTCACTTTTCCCCTCTGGGGACCTGGGTGGGATAAACTAGGATTCTTATGTAGCCTCTTTATCTCTCCTTAAAGCCTAGAGCCAAAGAAGACCAAAAAAAAAAAAAAAAAAAAAAAAAAAAAAAAAACCCAGTGAGTAGCCAGATTCCCATTTTTTCCTCTCCTGGTCTCATTCCGGCTGTCTGAGAGCCTAATATCCCTAAGGCAAGAGTTTTGCCATGCTCACTCAGAGTGCTCCGCTCTTGTCTCTTCTGTTGGTGTTCTCCCTTTCCTCCTCCCAAAGGTAGGACTTAGTGTTCTGACTTCTGAACCTTGGGATGAAAGGACATCAAGTTGCTCTCGTCTCTCCTTGTCAATGCTGCTTTCTCCTTTTTCTTGTGTGGCCTGATTTATGACGCTTCAGTTGTTCCTATCCCTAAATCCTGTGTCCCTGTCCCTGAGGAGGCAATGAGGGGGAAGATGGAAATGAAGCTTCTTCTGGGGTGGTGCATGGGGGAATGGCAACCAGCCACGGGAGCCCAAGTCTCTTATATCACAGGTCTGACCTCATCAGTGATGCCTCTGTACATTTTGCTATGCTGTCTCTCAGTTTTTGCACATGGTTTTTTTCTCACCATGAGCTCTTACCCTTCTTTTTTCCTGCACAGTACTCATCCTGCAAGACCCAGCTTAACTCATGACAATGAAGGATCACTTTTCAGAGCATATCTTTGGACTTAGCACCATCTTAATGTGTAGAGTTCAGCTTTTCAGAGCATATCTCTGGACTTAACAACCATCTTAATGTGTAGAGTTCACCCTTCCCTTAAATGCCTTGCATTATGCTGTTGAGTTCAAAATGCTTCAGATTTTTTTGGAGTGATTTATATTTGTCAGGTTAAAAATAGTAATAGCCGGGGCTGGAGAGATGGCTCAGCAGTTAAGAGCACTGACTGCTCTTGCAGAGGACCCAGGTTCAATTCCCAGCACCCACATGGTGGCTACGAACCGTCCTTAACTCCAGTTCCAGGGAAATCTGAAGCCCTCTCCTGACCTTCACGGCATTGCATGACATGGGTGCACTCACATACATGCAGGCAATACACTCATACACATAAAAAATTAATTAAAAATAATAATAATAGCCGGGCGTGATGGCGCACACCTTTAATTCCAGCACTTGGGTGGATCTTTGTGAGTTCAAGGCCAGCCTGGTCTACATGGTGAGTTCCAGGACAGCTGGGGCTACAGGGAGACCCTGTCTCAAAAGGACCAAAAAATAATAATAATAATAATAATAATAATGATAATAAATAATAATAACAGCCTGGCTGGTAAGAGAGCTCATTGGGTAAAAGTGCTAGCTGCACAAGCCTGACAACCTGGATTTGATCATACTAACCCGTGGTGAAAGGAGAGAACAGACTTCCAAAAGTAGTTATCCTCCGACTTCCGTGCACACATGCCTGCACACACAGGCGTACACATGCACACAATAATATAATAATAATAATAAATTAATAGTTTTCTAGGATTGTATAATGCTAGGACATTTACCCAAGCTCACTTACTTGCCCTTAGCTGTTTAACTTCCAATCCTGAGACCTTGGCAGCTCAGTAGTCAGAAGTGCAA